ATCTGCTCTGCATACAGGTTGAAAAGGTATGGAGATAGGACACATCCCTGGCGTACACCCTTCCCAGTTTTGAACCATGCAATGTTGCCCTGCTCTGTTCTGACGACTGCCTCTTGGTCCAAGTATAGGTTTCGCATTAGCACGATTAAATGTTCTGGGATTCCCATTCTTTTCAGAGGCAGCCACAGTTTGTTATGATGCTACATAGTATTATATCATACTGAATGTACCATAATTTCTTAATCCATTTTTAAAATCCCACCAACAATGTATAAGATTTCCTGTCTCTCCACATCCTATCTAACATTTATTACTTGCTGTCCTGTTTGTTTTAGTAAGTTGTGTTTTCATTGTCACTGTTTCAAGAACCTTCCCCCCCCTATTTTTTATTTCTTCTAGTGTCCATTCATGATCAAGCAGGATGTTCAGCTTCCAAATGTATGATTTTTTTTCTCCTTTTCTCCTTATTAATTTCCAATTTTGTAGCATTGTGTTCTGAGAAGATATTATGTATTATTTCTATGTTTTAAAATTTATTGATGAACCTTGTGAACTAAAATGTGATCCATTCTGGAGAATATTCTATGCACATTGTAGGAGAAGGTATACTATGCTTTTGTAGGAGTGTGTTAGCCTATAATATATGATATCGAGTTGGTTTATTGTGTGGTTTATTTCTTCATCATCTTTGTTGAGTTTCTTTCTTGTAGTTCTCTCTTCTCTTGAGAGTGGTGTGTTGAAATCTCCTACTATTGTGGTGATGTTTATTTCTTTTTTCACTTCTGTTAACATTTGCTTTTCCTGTTTTGAAGCTCTATTATTTGGTGCATGGTATTTATTGTGGTTATGTCTTCTTGTTCTTGTGATCCTTTAAGGATTATATAGTGACTTCACTTGTCCTTTGTGATGGTTTTTGCACTGAAATCCATTTTATAAGAGATTAATATTACTACTTCTCATTTTTTCTGGTTGCCATTTGCTTGGTATATTTTTCCTCATCCTTTTCTTTTTAGTCTTTCTTTACTTTTCAAATGTATCTTTTGTAGACAGCATATTGATGGGTTTTGTCTTTTTAGGCAATCTGCTACTCTTTTCCTCTTCACTGGTGCATTTAAAACCATTCACATTAAGTGTAATTATGGAGAAGCAAGGTTTATTTCTATCATTTTGTTGAGTTCTTTTTGGTGTTGTTGCTGGCTACTTTGCTCCATCTTGCTTTCTGTGGCATCTATGTAAGAAGGAATTCTTTCAATATTTCCTGTAACTCTAGTCTTGTTTTTACAAACTCCCTTAGGTTCTGCTTCTCTGAGCATATCTTGATCTCTCCATCATACTTGATGTATAGTTTTGCTGGTTACAGTATTCTTGGTTGGCAGTTGTATCCTTTAAATGCTTGATATATAGGCCATTCCACTGTCTTCTTGCTTGCATGGTTTCTGCTGAGAAATTGGTACTTAATCCCACTTCCCTTTATAAGTTACTCTCCATTTCTCCCTAGCTGTTTTCAGAATTCCTTCCTTCTCTTTGGTATTAGCAAATTTGACTGTGATATGCCCTGGTGTTTTTCTTTTAGGGTCTGTATCGTCTATATGGAGTTCTCTCAGCTTCTTAAACATATATTCTCTCATTCTTCATTATGACTGCAAAGTTTTCTTCTAGTAATTCTTCCACAACTTTATCAGTGCCTTTACTAGCTTCTTCCTGTTCTAGGATTCTGATTATGCACATTTTATTCCACTTGGTGTCACACATTATTCTTAGGCTTTCTTCTCTTTCTTCCTTTTTGAGTCTACTTTTTGTTCTAGGAGATCAGTGGTGAGAATTCTGTCTTCTATTTTGCTGTTCTGTGTTCCATCTGTTCATAGATCCCTCCAGCATGATGACAGCATCTGAAACACTGGTCCTCATATTCTGGATTGTAGTTTCTTGTTTTTCCAGACCCTCTAAGGCCTTGTTTGTTTTATCTGCATTGTCTTAGATTGTTTTTTAAAATTCCTCTTGGGTTTTCCTTGCAGAGTTTTACAATTCTCTGAGCTTCTTTTTTACCCATTGAAAATGTCCAATCCCTGTTCTTTTGAATTCTGTGTCAGAAAGTTCCATCAAAATTTCTGTCTTCAGGAAATCCATTGATACTGTGTTATGATCACTTCTTGGTGGTGACATCTCATTTTGGTTTTGTATAGGGTGTGAGGTAGTTTACTTTCTCCATGTCATTGCTGTGGTAGAGTTTTTCATGCCTGTGGCCTTAGCAGACCCTTAATCTGATTACCTTGGTTCAAGATCTCACTGCTCCAGATGGAGGAGGGGCAGCTACCCTGTCCAAGTTTCTCTCTGATCCTTTGACTCAAAGGAAGACTTGCTTCAGCTGAGGCGAGATATGGCCTGTAAATTAGCAGCTTTCTCTGCCAGGCAACTGCTGCAGCTAGGTGGGTCCAAAGGGTCCACAGTTAAATGGAGCTCAAGCTCTGGAAGGGGGAAGCACCTGTGATAGTGGTACTCCTGGCACAGTTCAGAGGGGCAACAGCATGTCATCCTCCAGGCAGTAGGTCTGAGATGTCCAGGTGGTGGGGCCATCGTCTAGTGCTCCAGGCAGGTGAGCAGTCCAGGCAACACTAAAACATTTTAAGAGAGCTACCTAGGTAATCAACTGGAAGAAATCCACATTTCTTATGATGGTGCTCCTGGCACAGGTTGATGCGGGGTGTTTTATAAGTTTTTTTGCTTTTCAATAAACGTTGTTGTTATGTGCTGTCGAGTCGCTTGCGACTCATAGCGACCCTGTGTACAACAGCCCTAAACCCTGCTCTATCCTGTGCCAATCACACTGCCTTTGACACGCCCATCCTGAGTACCCCAGTCACTCAATCAATCTACCTCATAGAGGGTCTTCCCCTCCTGCGCCGTACCTCCACCCTCCCAAGCATGATGTCCCTCTCCAAGGACCTGTCCCACCTTACAACATGTCCAAAGTATGTCAGACGAAGCCCCAGAATCCTTGCCTCCAAGGAGTAGCCTGGTTTAACTCTCTCCAGGATGAATCTGCTTGTTTTCTTGGCAGTCTATGGTACATTCAATACGCTTCTCCAGCACAACAGCTCAAAGGCATCAATTCTCCTTGTATCCTCCCTACTCATTGTCCAACTCTCTGATGCATAACAAGTGATTGCAAAGATCATGGCCTGTATCAGACGCACCTTGGTCTCCAGAGAGACACCATTGCTCTTGAGTACTTTAGAGAGGTCCCTAACAGCAAACTTAACATTAATAAACATTAGTGTGCATATATGTTTGAGCTGTGGCTCTGATATCTTTAGGGTATATTCCCAGTGCTGGAATTGCTGGTTTAAATAGTATTTCTATTTCTAACTTTAAGAAAGTACCAGACTACTTTCCAGAGTTGTACCAGTTTACTTTCCCACTATCAGTGAATAAGAGTCCCAATGAGAGATCAACTTTTGAACTGAATCTAAAAGATAGAAAAGAATTTGTCAAGTAGATAAAGAGGGAAGATTTTCCAGATTTAGTATTCCATAATAGACTTTGGACTCAAATGTCAGGATTCTTATTGCACTGTATACTCCTTTTTTCATCTCTTACTCTGCTCTTTGTTAGACAGCTCTCCAGGTCAGTCTTTTTTTTTAATTGCCACACACTTTTAAATTGATGATCATGCTTAGAAACACATTTTGCTATAATTTGCGGCAACATGTTAAGTGGGCTTACTTTATTCTTTTTACCCCCACCTAATACTATAGCTCCTATCTATTATTTTTCTATGCTACACAACTTTTCTATTTTCCACTCTTAATTTTATCTAGCCAGATACCATATTTAAATAATAATTTTTATTTGTTCTATACATTAGTATCAGTAGGCAGATACTATGAATTCACAAGACGTATCTTAATTTTCTGCTTTCTTCTTTTTTTCCAGAATGGGAGAACAATACAAAACCCACAAAGTCAACTCAGACACAAGATTTATCATTTCGGGGACTGATAATAAAAAAGTCTGAAAGGAATGAACGCAAGTACTTCAAATCAGAAAACCCCTATATTTATGAAGACACATTAAAGAAACAACCTAATAAAAAAGAAGATTTTAAAATTATTTCAGTAACTCACAAAAAAATCCTTACTATAGAAAGAATCCATAAAAATATTGAGTTTGGCCAAAATTTCAATCTCAAGTCAGACATTGTTACACAGGAAATGTTAATTAGGGAAAAGTTATCCTTAAAATGTGAAGCACAAGTAAATAGTTTCAAAAAGCATTCAAAGTTGCATAATCAACAAAAAATCAGCACAACAGAAAAGCGATATAAATGTAATATATGTGAGAAAACTTTCACTAACAATTCATCTCTTCGTAAACATCTGAAAAACCATACTGGAGAGAAATTATTTAAATGTAAAGAATGCCTGAAAGCCTTCAGCCAGAGTTCAGCTCTTATTCAGCATCAAATAACGCATACTGGAGAGAAACCCTATGTATGTAAAGAATGTGGGAAAGCCTTCACTCTAAGTACATCCCTTTATAAACATGTGAGAACCCATACTGTGGAGAAAAGCTATAGGTGTAAAGAATGTGGTAAATCCTTCGGTCTAAGGTCAGGGCTTTTTATACATCAGAAAGTTCATGCTCAAGAAAATCCCTGTAAATATAACCCAGGTAGGAAATCATCCCTTCCTGGATGTCAGAGAATTCATTCTAGAAAGAAATCATATTTATGTAATGAATGTGGAAATACCTTTAAGTCTAGCTCATCTCTTCGTTACCACCAGAGAATTCACACTGGAGAGAAACCTTTTAAATGTAGTGAATGTGGAAGAGCCTTCAGTCAGAGTGCATCTCTTATACAACATGAGAGAATTCACACTGGAGAAAAACCTTACAGGTGTAATGAATGTGGAAAAGGCTTCACTTCAATTTCACGACTTAATAGGCATCGGATAATTCATACTGGTGAGAAATTTTATAATTGTAGTGAATGTGGTAAAGCTTTAAGTTCTCACTCAACACTTATTATTCATGAGAGAATTCATACTGGTGAGAAACCGTGTAAATGTAAAGTGTGTGGGAAAGCTTTCAGACAAAGTTCAGCTCTCATTCAGCATCAGAGAATGCATACTGGAGAAAGACCCTATAAATGTCATGAATGTGAGAAAACATTCAGGTGTAACTCATCCCTTAGTAATCATCAGAGAATTCATACTGGAGAAAAACCATATCGGTGTCAGGAATGTGGAATATCTTTTGGCCAAAGTTCAGCTCTTATTCAGCATCGGAGAATTCACACAGGTGAAAAACCATTTGAATGTAATATGTGTGGGAAAACTTTTAGGCAAAGCTCATCCCGTATTGCCCATCAGAGGATTCATACTGGAGAGAAACCCTATGAATGTAATACATGTGGGAAACTCTTCAATCACAGATCATCCCTTACTAATCATTATAAAATTCATATTGAGGAGAACCCATAGAAAATATATTTGCATATATGAAAGCCTTAAGCCAAAGTGCATTAAAGACTGCATACTTGATGTAATATATGTAATATACATGAAAAAAATGTCTACAATAATTTTATCCTCATCAGACACTAAATCTAAAGGGTAAACTTTGTAATAACATAGAGCTCTGGTGGCCTGGTGGGTAAGGATTTGCACTACCACCCCAAAGGCAGGTGATTTGAATTCACCAGCTGCTCCTTGGGAAATTGAGAGACAGTCTCCTTCTATACAATTTACATCCTCTGAGAACTCACTAGAAGTTCACCTATGAGTCAGTTCCAACTAGATGGCACACAACAGCAATGACAAAATGTAATAAATATGTGGAAAGCATTCATTCACTTCAGAAAACAAACATAAAAAACCCATAAAATGAAGAATTCCATAATTCCTTAAGTTGACCAATACGTTTACTTGGATAACTTGTAAAATAAAAATTTTACTTCTTTTTTCCCCTCCTGCTCCCATAGCACTAGATACTACCATCATAAGAGTCTTGATGAGGTGGTTATGTGTGCTGATTTTACACTAGAAAAACAATAAACTATGTAAATTAGTAATATATTTTATACCATTTTAATAATAAAATAATTGATTAAAGAATTTATACATTTTTATAGAAAAGGACATTTTTAGAAAAAAGATAAAAATAAACTGTAAATTACCTCTTAGCCTCTGGAGTTTGTTCTTTTCCTGACTTGCAGTCAAGCATTGTGCATGAATTTCACAAAAAAAAATTTGTTCTCTTCCTTGTTTGTTCTTGTAATTGTGGTGAATAGGGAATTTCCTATCCAATTTCCAATTCTACTTTTGGAGGTTTTGTGGTTGCTTTGATTTGTTTTGTTATTTCTGCTCTGCAGTCATATTGATTATGAAAATCTACCTGCCATATACTTTTTTGGGAGCTGTGATGGTATAGCCTGTAGTGAACTGTGCTAACTGAAAGGTCACATGTTCAGGAAATATTTTTTAATATTTTGTAACACTATTTTGTAATGCTGACATAGAAATTTCCCCAGTATGACAAAAGGTGATGGAATTTAACCAGGTAACCTAGGAGAGAGTAAAAAAGCTTCCAGTAACTTTAAGAGAAGTAAGATGAGCAAACAGGAACTATATGTGGAATGTAGGTGCGTGAAACTTGGCATGTTTGGGGAAACACATAATGAAACACATGATGAGCAGGGAGATGGTAGATGCTGAAGTTAGTTCGAGGAAAATGCAAAGGCAGTATAACAAAAGACTTCTGTTACCTTGTTAAGGGGTTTGGATTTTATCCTGAAATTTTGAACATGTAGCTGTTTTTGGATTATCTTCAGCAATATTTTACTTGCAAGTCATAAAAGTAGTACAAAGATTATTCCTTATTTTTCATGTGGGAATTATCCAACACTATTCATTAATATCACATGCAAACAAAACGTTGCTGAATATCATCCAAAGGTGTCTAGAACAGTAACATGACAGGGAACTGCCTGAAGTTCAAGCTGGTTTTAGAAGAAGCTGTAACACCAGGGATATCATTGCTGATATAAAATGGATCTTTGCTGAAAGAAGAGCATACCAAAAGGATGTCCACTTATGTTTTATTGACTACGCACAGGTATTTGGCTCTGGGCCACAACAAATTATCACCAATATTGAGATGAATGGGAATCACAGAACAATTATATTAATGTGAAACTTATGCCCAGATCAACACAGAGGAACACTCCATGGTTTAGAATCAAGAAAGTTGTCTATCAGTGTTGTCTTCTTTCTGCATACCTATTCAATTTGTATGCTGAGTAAATCATTCAAGAAGTTGGACTTCATGAAGAGGAATGTGTCATCAGCATCTCAGATGACACAACTATGATTGGTGAAAGTGAGGAGTACTCAAATTGCTTGTTTCAGAAGATCAAATGAATCCTGAAATATGGATCATATCTCAACATCAGACTTTCCAGATTTGAGACTTTTCTACTTGAAATTGGTTGCATGGAAACTGATTGTTCATCCAGTGTCAACATTTGGTGTCAATCCACTGAATACTAATGACTGAGACTTAAAAAGGATTTTCCTTCCCCATTTGTCTAGCCATTTTTTACTAATTCTCACCAAGACTACTTGTGTGTAATATATGTTTTTTTAAAAAAATAATTTCCACAATCTGTTGGATAACCTTTTATTTGGAAATGGAAACAAATATGGATCTCTTCAGGCCACCAGCTACTTCCAGATATCTTTCTAAATTTTTTGACACACAATGGAAAGCATGTCCAGGGCTGCAACTGTTACAACATGTCAACTGGTATACCATCAAGTCTTGGGGCCTTATTTTTTGCGTATCCCTTCAGTGCAGCTTGAGCTTCTTTTTTTACCATATGATACTTCTTGAAATGATTCTGTATCAGTTAATTATTTTTTTTTGTTAATTATTTTTGGTACAGTTTCTTTGCACATTCCTTCCAACATTTGGTAATTCCTGGATCATTCAAGATTTTGCCAGTAGCATCCTTTAGTATTTCAACTCGAGCCTTGAATTGCCAGAAGAACCAAATTGACAAGAGCTGTCAGAAGTTTAATCTGGAATTATAAGAGACCATGATGTCAGCTTGAAGACTAAAGTGTGCTTGATTCAGACCATGGTCTTCTCAATCACTGGCCATGCATCAGAGAGCTGGACAATAAATAAGGATGACAGAAGAATAATTGATGCCTTTTAGTTCTGGTGCTGGAGAAGAGTACTGAATATCCCTTGGACTGCTAAGAGGATAAACAGATTTGTCCTGAAAAGGGTGTGACCAGAGAGCTTTTTGGAGACAAAGATGGCAAAACTTCGTCTTTCATACTTTGAACATGTAGTAAGGTGAGGCTATTCCTTGGAAAGGGACACTGTGCTTGGAAAAATAAAGCGTCAGCGGAGAGGAAAACCTCCAACGAGATGGATTGATTCTGTGACTTCAGCAATGGGATCTAGTGTCTCAGAGTTGATGATGATGACACTGAATAGGGCAAGTTTCAGGTTGGCTGTTCATAGGATCTCTGTGAGTCACACTCAACATACAACAGCAAAAATGACGATAACACTATGTCGCTTAATTTTACATTAACTTGGCTAGGAATCTGGGGAGTTGTGCTGTCATACTCAACTCAGTGACACCTACACCACCATATCAGAGATGTAATTAATGTTATCAGATTGACAACAGCATAGTTGTTGTTGTTTGTTGTTATGTGCCATCGAGTCGTTTCCGACTCATAGTGACCCTATGCACAACAGCCCTAAACCCTGCTCTATCCTGCGCCAACCGCACTGCCTCTGACACACCCATCCCGATACCCCAGTCACTGAATCGATCCATCTCATACAGGGTCTTCCCCTCCTGCGCTGTCCCTCCACCCTCCCAAGCATGATGTCCCTCTCCAAGGACCCGTCCCTCCTGGCAACATGTCCAAAGTATGTCAGACGAAGCCCCAGAATCCTTGCCTCCAAGGAGTAGCTTGGTTTAATCCTCTCCAAGATGAATCTGTTTCTGATGCCAGATAGATCTTAGCTGAAAGCAGAGAATATCAAGATATAAATTTGTGTTTTATTGCCTATGCAAAGGCATTTGACTGTGTTAATCATTACAAAGTATGATTGACATTGAGAGGAATGGGAACTCTACACTTAGACAAAAACTCTCCAATGAACAGAGCAAGGGAACACTACATGATTTAAAATTAAGAAATGTGTGCATCAGTGCTATATCCTTGCTCCATATGTATTAAATATGTACATTGACAGGGAACAGTACAATCACAGAACTGTCAGAAGTCCAACCTCAATTTAGAAGAGGCTGTGGTGGCAGGGATATCATTGCTGAGGTCAGGTGGATCTTGGCTGAAAGCAGAGAATACCAAAAGGTCTATTTGTGCCTTATTGACTATGCAAAGGCATTTGACTTTGTGAGTCAAGACAAACTATGGTTAACATTGCTAAGAGTGGGAATACCAGAGCACTTAATAGCCTATACCTAGATCAAAAAGCTATTGCCTGAACAGAACAAGGGAACACTTTGTTGTTATGTGCCATTGAATCACTTGTGACTCATAGTGACCCTATGTACAACAGCTCTGAACCCTGCTCTGCTCTGAGCCAACCTCATTGTTTCTAACACATCTACCTCCATTACCCCAGTCACTGAATCAATCCACCTCATCCTCTCTTGCACTGTCCCTCCACCCTTCCAAGTATGATATCCCTCTCCAAGTACTGGTTCCTTCTTGCAGCATATCCAAACTATGTCAGATAGAGCTTCAGATTACTTGCCTCCAAGGAACAGCATGGTTTCAACCTCTCCAAGATGAACCTGTTTGTTCTCCTGTCAGTCTGTGGTATATTTGATACTCTTCTCCATCACCACAACACAAAGGCATTAATTCTTCTATCATTGCTAGTCATTGTCCAGCTTTCTGATGCATAGCAAGTAATTGTGAAGACCGTGGTCCATATCAGGTGCATGCTATAAAATTAAGAAAATTATGCACCAGAGTTGTAACCTCTCTCCATACCTTTCCAATTGCATACTAAGCAAATCATTCCAGAAACTGGACTGTATGAAAAAGAATACGGCATAAGGATCAGAAGAAGAATCATGAACAACCTGTATTATTTTCACCTGCTGAAAATAAGAAGGCATTGATACACTTGCTGTGTAACATAAAAGACTACAGCCTTCAAGATGGAACTCATCTCAACATCAAGAAAACAAAATTTCTACTGCTGGATTAATAGATAAAATTATACATACTACCAAATGCTTTGCTGGAGAAGAGTGGGCAGTCTCCTCCTGTGCCAGTCAGATTCCGTTTGACTGTACAAAACAAGGAAAAGGAAATCTTTATAAATAGAAAAAATATTTTAACTATCAATGACTTTGTCTTGCTTGGATCCTCAATCAACACCCTTGGTACCAGCAGTTAGGAGATAGGAGATGTGTTAC